AAAAAAATAAAAGAGTAAATTGGATTGCTAACACAAAAATATAGGATAAATGCCTGAGCTGGCTAGGCATGGGGTGAGCTCATGCCTGTAATCCACACTTTGGGAGGCCGGAGATTGTGTGGATCACTTGAGGCCAGGAGTTTGAGACCAACCTGGCCAACATGGATGAAACCCGCGTCTCTACTAAAAAATACAAAAATTAGCTGGGTGTGGTGGCCCATGCCTGTAATCCCAGCTGAGGAAGGCTGAGGCACAAGAATCGCTTGAACCGGGAGGCAGAGGTTGCAGTGAGCCAAGATCACATCATTGCACTCGAGCCTGGGGCGACAAAGCAAGGCTCTGTCTCAAAAAAAAAAAAAAAGAATGGGCGATACCCCATTTACCATGATGTAATTGTTATTTGTATTCCTGTATCAAAATATCTCATGTGCCCCATAAATACATACACCTTCTATGTACCCACAAAAATTAAAAAAAAAAATTTTTTTTGATACAGAAAATTATCTGTAGCCCAGGCTGGAGTGCAGTGGCGTGATCTCTGCTCACTGCAACCTCCACCTTCCAAGTCCCGGTTAAGCAATTCTCTTGCCTCAGCCTCCCGAGTAGCTGGGATTACAGGTGCCCACCACCATGCCCAGTTAATTTTTGTAAAATTGAAAAGGTCCAGAATAACCTCTGTGTATACAGAAGGTAGGCGTCTCCATGGTGACAGCTGATCTTGGGCTGGTCAGTATGCTTAGAAATAAAAAAGCATTAAAAAGTATGAGAATAAAAGAGACTCTGCCAGGCTGAGGAGGGCAGCTCATAAGACATCCTGTAGACCAAGGTAGAAGAAGCTATTAATAGAAGATCTTATGGTGCCCATGTGGGGGTTGGGGAAGCCCAGTGTGGAGGACCCTAATCAGAGGGAAGTTGTGACCCCAGATAAAGATGACTAATGACTGGGGACCTGGGCTGAGGACTGATGGAGATTGGATAAGGGGGAAATTGGTTGTGGAATCATAGACCCTAGTTGGGTAGGAAGTCAGGATCGTCTAGATGGAGCTATGGAGAATAAACAGAGCAGAAGTGTAGTGGTCTGTGCCCCCCTGACCGTCCTGTCTCAGTCTTTCCCTTGTGTTTCTTAGGTGCTGGTACAAGGCTGCCTCTTGGACCCGTCCCAGCAGGAGGTGTTCCTGCAGCAGATATATGAGCAGCTCTGCCTCTTTGAGGATAAGGTGGCCACCATGCTGCAGCAGCAGTATGATCCCCAGAGCCAGGTATGTAAGAGAGAAAGTGGGCAGAGGCAACTTAGAAAGAGGAGCAGCTAAGGACAGAGGGCAGAGAGGAGGGATAGTCCAAATAGGGCAGAAAAAGGCTAAGAGCTGGGACAAAGTGAGACAAGGATAAGCATGCTCATGACACGCTCCCTGTTGGAGCAGGACTCAGATATATTCCCCGAAACACAGATTCTTTCAGGGCGAAAATGTGAAATCCATTTGTTTGCACTTTTTTTTAAGCCCCAGATCTTCTCCTTCAGTGGATCTGAGAAGGTGTCATGTGTGGCTTTGACCTCTAGTTAGCATTTTGTACAACCGGGGATAAAGCTGCCTGGGCCCACTAGACTTCCCTGTCTCATCACTTTGGGTACCTCAGAAGTAGCCAGGCAAATGGCAGTTCTGTGTGCCTGATGACTGGTCATGTAATTTGATTGAGGTATAAAATATTTCGTAACAGTGATGGAAAAATATGGAAAGGGGCCCTTCTTGGCAAAAGATGGAGAAGCCTTACTTCAGTACAGTCTGAAGCTTCATCTGGTGCTGAACTCCCTTCGCCTCTGAAGTTCAGTATCTGAGCACACATGAGGAGGGAGCACAGTAAAGACTCAGTCGCATAGTAGAGGAATTGGGGTCCTCACAGGATTTGGCCTGTCTGGCCTGAGAGGTGCTGGACTGTAAATTCTGGCTTTGCTATGGATGGGGCAGCAATGCCATCTGCCCCATTCTGTCTTTTCTGTAACTTGGGGCAGGCAGAAGACCAGTCCCCAGACTCAGGGGACCTACTGGGCCGGAAGGTAGGCGTCTCCATGGTGACAGCTGATCTTGGACTGGTCAGTATGATTCGTCAGGGCATCTTGGCGCTGCAGTTACTACCGTCAAACTCTAGTGCAGGTCAGTAGAAGGAATATTGGTGGGACTGGGGAAGCGGGGAAGAAGAGTGGGGCTAACTGCTAACAAAGATAGCAGTTCCAGGGAATCAGTGGGCCCCAGAAAAGAGGATCTGTTTCCTTGTTTGCAAAACGTATGTCTGTATTAGTGTGTATCAGGAACCCTCGGCTCTGACAACTCCCTAGAAGGAGTAGAGCTCCAAGGATATCACTTAGGGGAGGTTATGATCTGGCACTCAAGAGGAAGAAGCAGGAGGGTAAGGGAGAAGGAAAGGTGTTTGAAGTTTATAAATCTTCATAGTTTATAAAACTGCCCACATTGGTGGGAAGACACTGAGCCCTTCAGGGCCCTGTCAGTTGGGTGTCTTCCTGTGACTTTGGTCTGTCCAGTGTCTCCAGGTCTGATCTGGTGTTTCCTGCTCCAGGGATTATCGTGATCACGGATGGGGTGACCAGTGTTCCTGATGTTGCTGTCTGTGAGACGCTGTTGAACCAGCTTCGCAGTGGCACTGTGGCTTGTTCCTTTGTCCAGGTGAGGACTTTTTAGGAAGGATGAGAGATGGAATATCTCACACAAAGGTGGGATGGCTGGTTACTTTCTTACAGGCAGTGATTTCCCAGGTAAAGTCAATTACTTAGTTACATGGGGGGAAGGAGTCATGTCTGGAAGGTAGGTAGCATGGTAGGAGAGGACTCTCATTTTTTTCCTCTTTCCTTGGGATTTTAGAAATAGATGTTAAAGCAGAAAGAATGCAGAATTTGAAATCTGACAGTCATTTCCAGTCCCACCTCATCCCGCAGATTAGTCATTATTGTTTTGAGTGCAAGGGTCAGAAAACCCGCTCAAACTAGCTTAAGCAAAGGGGTGAAAGGCATAGTCAGGGACTGCAGCTAAATTGGATTGATGGACTGTAGGGAAGGAGGTAAAAAGCTATGGGAAACAAGGCTGAGGGGGTAGGCACAGGCCAGAACATGAAAATCTGGTTCTGCTTTATTAATGAGATTAAGCATAACTCTGTGGGTGATGCAGATAGATAGAAGGAAAGTCATTAGTTGGGTTTATGTTTTATAAAGGTCACTTTTGCTGCTGGGTGAAGGACAGTGGGGAAGTCAGTGAGAGAGGATCAGGGCTTAAATTAGGGGTAAGAGGATTGAGAAAAATGAAGAGGCAGAGTCAGCTTGACTTCATGATTATCAAGATGGGGGTAGGAGATGAAAGAGAAGAGGGCTTAAAGATGTCTCCAAGTCTCTGACTCCAGTGATGACTGGGTACCAGCAGCGCAAAAGGAAGAGAAGCAGTTGTGGTAGAGTGAGGATAAGATGATGAATGCAAGTTTGTGTATGTTGTGTTTGAAGTGCCTGTGGTTCAACACAGCCAGTTAAGAACATCACCTTTGGTGTTAGGCATGCTGGTCTAAATCCTGACTGCAGTTATTAACTGGGTGACATTGGGCACATTGCTTCACCTCTAGGTCAGATTCATTTGTAAATGGAGGTTGTAAAAGTACATAACCCACTGGGAGGTGAGATGCATTTAAAGTATTTAGCATTGTACATAATCACTTAATAAATGGCTGCTGTTTATAGCAGATAGCGGTTGAATACACAGATCCTGATATTCAGGAGACGAATACTGCTTGAGAGGTAGAGATTTAAGATTTGTCAGGGTACAGATGGTAATTGAGAACAGAAGAGGGTCCTGGAAGAACTTTGGGGAACACCAGTGTTCGAGGTCTTTCATAGGAAGAGGGCCCAGCAAAGAATAAAGAATCAGCCAGGAGCCAGAAGATTGTGGTGTCAGAGAAGTCAGAATTTTTGGAAGAAAATTTTACTTGATCTTTCTGCTGCCTCTCACAATGGTAACTACACTGTGAGAAGCAGCAAAAAGATCAAATAAAAACTGAGGAATGAAAAGTGCCCTTTGGATTTGGTGATTAGGAGGTCACGGGGATCTTTTTCAGAGCCATTTTAGTGAAGAGGTGGTGAGGGGATTGAAGAGTGGATAGAAGGAAGGAAATAGGGACAAGTGTTGACACAAGAAATTTGGCTGTTGAGATCGAGAGCAGAGCAAGAGAGAGAATGGTAACCAGAGGGAAGTACAGGGTAAAGGAGTGTTTTGTTTTGTTTTTAAAGCTAGAGACTTAAGCATGTTTCTAAGGGTCTATAGTGAAGAAGAGTTTGAAAATAAAGAAAGGAAAAGGGAGGCTGGTGGAGTAAAGTCTCTGAATTGACAGGAGGTCATTGGCTTAAGAAACAGATTGAGGGATTCTTTTGGAGCAGGGAAGCGTCGTTTCTTTCTTTGAAACTAGAAAGTAGAAGTGAAGATGTAGATCAGCTCTGCGAAGGGCCTCTGATTTATCTCTGAAGTAAAAGGTGAAGCCGAGTACTGTAAGGAAGAGAGGCCAGAGTTGGGAAGAAGGAACAGTATTGAGGACTGCCCTGAAGGACTAGCTGAGTTGGGTGTCATATGTTTTGATGTGGTGCCAACCTACACAACTGTCAGTTTTTTCTGTTTGGGCACCACTGGCCAAGAACAGAGGCTGTGATCCTAGTTGGGGTTTTGAAGAAGCAGACGAGAGTGAAGAGGGCCAGGGATTTGAGAGCAATGCTTATGAAGTTGTCTGAATGTAGGGTCCAAGCTGGGTCGAGAAAGGAGGGTCAGGACAATGTGGATAGATTTGGAGAGAGCAGAGGTTCAAGGCCTGGCAGTCTCAGTGAGGTCAAAGAGCAGCAGCAGGAGGAGGGTGGGAGGAACCTAAGGGTATAGTGCTGTATGTAATCAGTGGGTTGTGGTATTTTGAAATTGCAGAGATGAATTTGTTCCAGGTGAAGCCAAGAGCCAGCGTGTAGCCTACAGGCAGGTGAGCGGAATAGAGAAAGTTACTGGAGATGAGAGTTAAGGAACTGAGAGGGCAGGGACTTGAATGAGTCATCTGGAGCAGGTCTGCGAACACTGTCTGCAAAGGCCAGTTAACCTTTAAGCCTTGTGGACCAGCTCTGCTGTTGAAGCGTGAAAGCAGCCATAGACAATACAAAATGAATGTGTGTGGCTGTGTTCCAGTAAAACTCAATTCACAAAAATAGGTGATGGACTAGATTTGCCCCTCAGGGTATATGTAGTTTGCTAATTTCTCATCTACAGCTATTGTATTCAAAATGTAGTCCACAGACTAGCAGATAGCTTGTTTGAAATCCAGAATCTCAGGCCCCACCCCAGACCTACTGCATTTTAACAAAATCCCCAGGTGTTTTTTATACACCCTGAAGTTTGAGAAGTGTTGATAAGCTGAAGCCTCTCAGAATGATGACAGGAAGTCAGTGAACCAGTTGCCAAAATCTTTAGTGAAGGAGGTGGTGGGCCTGGTGGGCCATTAGGTATCGAGGAGGAAGTGCAGAGGATGCTGTGGCTGGTTAGCATGGGCATCAGACAGAAGGGCTCAAAGAAGGAAAGACACAGACAGTGGTCTGTCCTAGGAAAACACTGGCTGGCTTCCCACTCTGTGGTCCAGGGAATGGGAGCAGCCACCTAGCCCAGTCTCTTTCTCTCCTGTTCTTCCTTCTCCTGTGCCTCTGTCAGAGCTAGGTCTTCGGTTGCTCACTTTTTCAGGTGGGAGGAGTTTACTCTTATGACTGCAGTTTTGGCCATGTGCCCAATGTGGAATTAATGAAGTTCATCGCAATGGCAACATTCGGCTCCTACCTGTCCACTTGTCCTGAGCCGGAGCCAGGCAACCTGGGTCTGACTGTCTACCACCGGGCGTTTCTCCTGTATTCCTTCCTGCGCAGTGGGGAAGCATTGAACCCTGAATATTACTGCGGTGAGAGGCACACTGAGGTGGATGTGGGAAGGAGGGAATGTAGAATGGGCCCAGAGATTATGGTGCCCTGGAGTACTGAAAGTGTAACTGGAGCTGGCTCCACTGGCACTGTAACCTCACAGTGATTTCAGCATAGCTCCTTCGCCCTACAGATCTGTCAGTTAGTTGGCAGATAGCCAGTTTCTCCTTCCCCATCCCCACTGATCTTCCAGGCTCTCAGCACCGACTGTTTAATGAGCACCTGGTCTCTGCAAGCAGCAACCCTGCCCTAGCCTTGCGCCGGAAGAAGCACACTGAGAAGGAGGTGCCAGCCGACTTGGTCAGCACCGTGTCTGTGCGACTTCGAGAGGGCTACAGTGTCCGAGAGGTCACACTGGCCAAAGGTAAGGGTCATTAACCTGCTGTAATCCCACAGATCTCTCAGGAATTTGTGTGTGGGAAGACCCACATGTATCACACATGAAAGAGTGTCACCATGAAAACCTTATCGCTTGAGACAGTGGGTTTTGAATTGTCATCAGGGCTTAATTCTCTTAGCATGGAGCTTCCCAATTCCATCTCCTTTTGACCAAGGTGAACCAGCTGAGGGTGTAGGGTCCTGAACTTGGCTTGGTTTTCAGATTGTTTCTACAAACTTGTGTTTGTATCAGTTGGCCAGCTCTAGGCCTGAAACCTGTGGAATCATGCTTGGAACCTTTGGCAGGGCTAGGTTCCATGAGATAGGTGGGGGTTTCAGATAGAACTCAATCCCAGGCGTAGAGTCCTATGCCTTCTCCTAACTGGCCCTCCCACTTCTCCCTAAGGAGGGTCCCAATTGGAGGTAAAGCTGGTGCTGCTGTGGAAACACAACATGCGCATTGAGTACGTGGCTATGGCACCCTGGCCTCTGGAGCCTGAGGGCCCTCGAGTAACACGGGTGGAAGTGACAATGGAAGGCGGCTACGACATTTTGCATGATGTGTCCTGTGCACTAAGGCAGCCCATCCGTTCATTGTATCGTACCCATGTTATCCGGCGTTTCTGGAACACGCTGCAGAGGTCAGTGAAGTCATCACTCAATGAGTGCTGCCCCATTTGTTGTGTGGAGGGACAGATTTGTGAAGGTGGGAGCTGGGGAGCATCACCCAGAGAACCAGGCTTATATCCAGGGTCCCAAATACCCCTAAGGCTCCCCTCATCTGCACCCAGCAGAGTCAGATATGGCTCAGGCCTGGCCCTTATTCTACAGCATCAACCAGACAGACCAGATGCTTGCCCACCTTCAGTCCTTCTCCTCAGTGCCTGAGCATTTCACACTTCCTGACAGCACCAAGAGCGGAGTGCCACTCTTCTACATCCCTCCAGGCTCCACCACCCCGGTGAGTAGCTCTGAAGTGTAGTAGCCCCATTTCATGCCAACTTGGGTTGTACAGCGTCTGGAGCCCAGGACCACCACCTTCTATTGCTTTCTCTCTCACGTCTAAGGCACCTAAACCAGAAGCCCAAGCTTTAACCTTGAGAGCTTCTCTTCTCCTAAGGCCCCAGGGAAGAGGAGGATCTATAGAGACAGGCTGTCCTGAACAGAGCACAGGTGGCAGAGGCAAAGACTCACACAGTATCTAGGTGGTGGTATCCCAGGCCCAGCAGACCATGAGCCCTTGCCCCATCTCCATGTGGCATACTTTGGGCTCCCCCAGTCACCTTTACCTGTGTGCATCCACCACCAGCCACCATGAACTGTGTACTTCCTGCAGACCACAGCTTCCTTGGTCCTGTGCTATCTTCACACTCAGTCCACGCTGTGAGCCTAACACTGATGGGCAGGTGGCTTATGCTAGTATACAGTGGCCACATCATGAGGTCCTGCCACCATTCGGTGGCTTTTCTCCCAAGTCAGTGACATAAGCTGGGCTCATGGTTCCATCCTTCTCCTGGATTCAGCTTTAAAGGGCTACACAGTCTGTCCCCGGACTCAGTCATCCAAATCTAGCCTTCACAGTGGAAGCAGTTTTTGTCTCCACTGTGCTTTGTCTCAGGCTGGGCTGTAGCCTCAAGCCACTGCTGTCTCTGACTCTGAACGGAGTTCACCCATGGTTTTGTTCGCTCTTTGCAGTTTGTACCCTGGTCCTCTACAAATGCTCATATAGTGCTGTCCTTCCTGTCCCCAGGTGCTCTCCCTCCAGCCTAGTGGTTCTGACTCATCCCATGCCCAGTTTGCTGCCTACTGGAAGCCAGTGCTGTCCATGGATGCAAATTCCTGGCAGCGATGGCTGCACATGCATCGCCTGGTGCTAATCCTGGAGCATGACACGTGGGTGCCCTTAGGGCTGGGCCATAGTTGGGGTGGAGTATCAGGGTTGGGGGATAGGGAATGATGGGAAGGGGAGCAGCAGATGAGCTCTTACCAACTGTGGCCAAGGAAAAACTATAGCCTTTTCCTTGCCTCCCTGCTCATCAGTCCCCATAACCTCAGGCAAGGCCTAGAAGAGAGAGATAGTAGTCTATTCCTTTTCTCCAAGACTGGGGCCGGGAGGTCTAACCTCAATCCACACCCCTCTTCCTAGACCAATCCCCAAGCACTTGCACACCCCGGGCAGCAATGGGCGCTACAGCACTATCCAGTGCAGGATCTCCCACTCCTCCCTGACCTCTCTGCTTCGGGACTGGAGCAGCTTCGTACTAGTCGAGGGTTATTCTTATGTCAAGCTGCTCTCCAGGTGGGCAAAGTGATGTCCCCTCACCCTGCCCCCTCATCCCATGTCTCCCTCTAACCTCTAACCCCAGACCTCACTCCTACTTCCTGCCAACCTCAGACTGCTCACTGACTCCCATTTCTCCCCAGTGCCCCAGACCAGCCCCCCTCCTCCTTCTACATGGTCCGTATCATTTCCAAGGCCCCATGCATGGTTCTTCGCCTGGGTTTTCCCATTGGCACACCAGCACCGGCCCGACACAAGGTGAGCTGGGCCCTGACTGACTCTGACCAAGGAGCCCTGGGGTGTAGACTAGCTCCCTCTCCCCAAACCCCACAGGGCCAGGTCCAGTAGAGGGAGGAGTCCCCAGACCAAGGGAGACCTGGAGAAGAAGGCTGTGTCTCACCTTGTCTGTGGGCCCCTTCTCCCAGACCTGTAGGAGATGGGAGTAGGAGGATCTGACCACATTTTCCCCTCAGATTGTGTCAGGCTTGAGGGAAGAGATCCTGCAGCTGCGTTTCCCTCACCGGGTACAAAGCAAGGAGCCAACGCCCAAGGTGAAACGAAAAGGGCTAGGGGGCGCTGGTGGGGGCAGCTCTCCCTCCAAGTCGTCCCCCGTGCTGGGTCCACAGCAGGCCCTGTCTGACCGGCCCTGCCTTGTGGTCCTGCATAAGCCACTGGACAAACTGCTCATCAGGTTGGTACAGAGGTGTGGAAGGGTGTGGCTTAGTGGGGTATGAGTGGTACAGAGGTGTGGAATGGTCTGGCTTGGCAGGGTGTGAGTGCTACCACACAAAGGAAGGGTGTGGCTTAGCGGGGTGTGAGTGGTACAGAGGTGTGGAGGGTGTGGCTTGGCGGGGTATGAGTGGTGCAGAGGTGTGAAAGGGCGTGGCTTAGCGGGGTATGAGTGGTACAGAGGTGTGGAGGGCGTGGCTTAGCAGGGTATGAGTGGTACAGAGGTGTGGAAGGGCGTGGCTTAGTGAGGTATGGGTAGGTCAGAGGTGTGGAAGGACGTGGCTTAGTGAGGTATGGGTAGGTCAGAGGTGTGGAACGACGTGGCTTAGTGGGTACAAGTGGTAGAGGTGTGGAGGGCGTGGCTTAGCCTGGTATGAGTCAGAGGTGTGGAGGGCGTGGCTTAGTTGGGTATGAGTGGTATAGGTGTGGAAGGGCGTGGCTTAGTGGGGTATGAGTAGGTCAGAGATGTGGAAGGGTGTGGCTTAGCGGGGTATGAGTGGTATAGAGGTGTGGAGGGTGTGGCTTAACAGGGTATGAGTGGTACAGAAGTGTGGAAGGGCGTGGCTTAGTGGAGTATGAGTGGTACAGAGGTGTGAAGGGCGTGGCTTAGCGGGGTATGAGTAGGTCAGAGGTGTAGAAGGGTGTGGCTTAGCCTGGTATGAGTAGGTCAGAGGTGTGGTAGGGTGTGGCTTAGCAGAGTATGAGTGGTATAAAGGTGTGGAGGGTGCGGCTTAGCCTGGTATGAGTAGTACAGAGGTGTAGAAGGGTGTGGCTTAGCGGGGTATGAATGGTACAGAGGTGTGGAGGGTGCGGCTTAGCCTGGTATGAGTAGTACAGAGGTGTAGAAGGGTGTGGCTTAGCGGGGTATGAATGGTACAGAGGTGTAGAGGGCGTGGCTTAGCCTGGTATGAGTAGGTCAGAGGTGTGGAGGGCGTGCCTTAGCAGGGTATGAGTGGTACAGAGGTGTTGGCTTAGCAGGATATGAGTGGTACAGAGGTGTGGAAGGGCGTGGCTTAGGAGGGTATGAGTGGTACAGAAGTGTAGAAAGGCGTAGCTTAGCGAGGTATAAGTAGGTCAGAGGTGTGGAAGGGCGTGGCTTAGCGGGGTACGAGTTGGTCAGAGGTGTGGAAGGCTGTAGCTTAGCGGGGTATGAGTGGTAAGGGGTGTGGAAGGGCGTGGCTTAGCCTGGTATGAGTAGGTCAGAGGTGTGGAGGATGTGGCTTAGCGTGGTAGTGGTACAGAGGTGTAGAAGGGTGTGGCTTAGCAGGGTATTAGTGGTATAGAGGTGTAGAAGGGCGTGGCTTAGTGGGGTATGAATGGTACAGAGGTGCGGAGGGCGTGGCTTAGCCTGGTATGAGTAGGTCAGAGGTGTGGAGGGCGTGCCTTAGCAGGGTATGAGTGGTACAGAGGTGTGGAAGGGCGTGGCTTAGCGGGGTATGAGTTGGTCAGAGGTGTGGAAGGCTGTAGCTTAGCGGGGTATGAGTGGTAAGGGGTGTGGAAGGGCGTGGCTTGTGGGGTATGAGTAGGTTAGAGGTGTGGAGGGTGTGGCTTAGCGTGGTATGAGTGGTACAGAGGTGTAGAAGGGCGTGGCTTAGCAGGGTATGAGTGGTACAGGTGTGGAAGGGCATGGCTTAGCCAGGTATGAGTGGTACAGGTGTGGAAGGGCATGGCTTAGCCGGGTATGAGTGGTACAGGTGTGGGAAGGCAGGCTTAGCCGGGTATGAGTGGTACAGGTGTGGAAGGGCATGGCTTAGTGGGTTATGAGTAGTGCAGAGGTGTGGAAGGATGTGGCTTAGTGGGGCATGAGTAGTACAGAGGTATGGACGGGTGTGGCTTAGCTGGGGATGAGTAGAGATCGCTGGGGAGTTGTCCCATTTCCTAGGTATGAGAAGCTACCCTTGGACTACCGGGCACCCTTCTTGCTGACACTGGAGCCACCAGGTCCACTGCCCTTGGTGTCAGGCCGCTCAGCCTCTTCTAGTCTGGCATCACTGTCCCGCTACCTCTACCATCAGCGCTGGCTTTGGAGTGTCCCGTCAGGACTGGCCCCTGCGCTGCCTCTCAGTGCCATTGCCCAGCTCCTCTCCATCCTCACTGAGTATGTCATCCAAGTCTGCCAGGCCACTCAGGGCAAGGAGAGAGCAAGTGTAGACTGGGACACTAGCAGAAAGCCTGTAGCACACACTTCCCCTCTAATTCCCAGTCTCAAGTGTAGAGCACCATTTGCTACTGCCCTCCCTGTCTCCTCCCATCACCCGATTTATTTTGGCCTCTCTCATCCTCATTGGACTTGTTATACCCTGAGGGACCGCCAGTTTGAGCAGGGCCACCAGCAAACTTGGCTCCTTGAGGACTGCTGGGAGGTGGGTGTGTGTGGGGAAAGCTTGTAGTCTCAGTGTCTCTTCTCTTATCCTGGCCTTGCCTCGGCCTTTATGGGGCCTCAGAGTCCGACTTTCTGAAGGATTCCACTTTGCCTGCAGTGGAGAAGGAATCATCAACATGGTTCTGGAGCTTCCAATTCAGGTATGTGCCATCCCTCATGACACCTCCCTGCCAAGGTCTGTCATAATCCCAGGGACACTGGCCTCTGAGCTGGGTTGGGACTGCTGGAAACTCTGCCTCACAGGGACAGTGTGGCCAGAGGGTGCGAGGTTTGAGGCTGCAGTCAGGACAATGTGGTGAGGGAACTGAAATTCTGAGGGTCAGAGCTAAGCCAGGCCAGATCTCTGCCTTGGCTGGGATTTGCCCCAGATCTCCCATTTTGCCCACAGAATGAACCACCAGGGCAGGCTGCAGCTGAAGAGAAGCACACCTGTGTTGTCCAGTATATCCTCTTCCCCCCACACTCTACCTCCACCAAAGACAGGTGAGACAGGCCCTCTGTGAGGGCCACCTCCGCAGAGTCACCCTTCTCCCCACCATCCCCTAGAGGTCTGGCTCCCATATCCTGAGATGATCTTGATCCCAAAGTCAGGGAGTGGGTGCGGTGTTTAGATGCTTCATCAGGCAGATGCTGGTCTGGGAAGGTCTTGTGTGACTCGTGGCTGCCCTCTGTGCCTGCCTCCTTCCCTCCATGAGGTCCATTCCCTGCCATGAGGCTCTGCATTGGACTCAGAGCCCTTCTTCCTTTAGCTTCTCGACAGATGATGACAATGATGTGGAAGTGGAGGCCCTGGAGGGAGACTCAGAGCTCAATCTGGTCACCGAGGTGTGGGTGGAGCCACAGTATGGGCGAGTGGGACCCGGCCCTGGAAGCTGGAAGCACCTCCAGGACCTGACATATTCTGAGATCCCACAAGCTGTGAGTGTCCTCAGAACAGTACCCCGACCTCTCTCACTGGATTGGGGTGCCATCTCCTTTGGAGTACTGCAGTCTGTGGGCTTCCTGGTGCCTCTGAATGGCTGGGACTGTTGAAGCTTCCTGAAGAGCTGGAACCCAGGGTATCCTGGGCTAAGAGATGTTGACTCCTGACCTCTGATGTTCTTCCTGTAGCTCCATCCACGGGATGCTGCCTGCATAGGTTCCATGCTGAGCTTTGAATACCTGATACAGCTGTGCCAAAGCAAGGAATGGGGTCCTGTGCCCCCAGAGCCGAGGGTCTCTGACGGTGAGTGAGGCAGGCGGCCCACTGGTGGAGCAGGGGAGTGGGTAGAGTAATCAGTGTTTCACTGTGTCCTGTCTTTCCTCCCTTGTAGGATTGGATCAGGGAGGAGACACCTGTGTCCATGAGATCCCTTTCCATTTTGACCTAATGGGATTGCTGCCACAGTGCCAGCAGCTCCAGATGTTCTTCCTCTTGCTTGCCAGAGGTGGGTGAACCTGGTACCCTTTCACCCACACCTAAAGGGCCAGCAAGCCTGGAAGTATTAGAAAATAACAAACAGATGGGTCAGCAAGTGAGCAGATGAGTGGCGGGGACAGGAGGAGCCCATGAGGCTGAAGGAGGGGCCTTGCTGGTCAGGGCTGAGCCGGGGGCACCGGGCAGCAGGAGGCTCTTGGTGCTGAGCAGAGTGTGTGTCGGGCAGAGCCAGAGGGTGTCCCTTTCGCCGAGGGGTCCTGTCCCGCCAACGACATGGTGCTGTGCCTGCTGCACAGCTGCCTGGGGCAGGAGCTGAGTGACCGGGAGATCCCACTGACACCCGTTGACCAGGCTGCCTTCTTGAGTGAGGTGCTGCGGCGGACCTGCCACGTTCCAGGTGAGTTCCCCACATCCTCCTGACACCAGACCCTGGCCCAGCCCTTTTCCCCCACCCTCACAGGGTGATTTCTGTCTTTGAGTTTTGGCCTTCCCCTTCCTCCCCCTTTCTTCAACCCAGAGTCCCACCTGTCTGCTGGCTCTGCCCTCTTTCACCCATCTCTACCCTGATTGTAGGTGCCGAGGGGCCACTACTAGGGGTTCATGGGATCCTGAAGGAGCAAGCATTCGTCAGCACCCAGGCCACAGGAGACTCCACCGTTACTTCCCTGGTCAGCACCGATTCTTCTCCCTGAACCCTTGTCACACTGACCTCCTTCTAGCACCACATCTTCAGGCCCCAACCTTCTACCGCCATTGAGACTAAGTGGCATCTGCCAGTGACAGAATGCCATCATTTTCCATTGTCCTGGATCTTTCAAGCTGTACCTGAGTCAGCTCTAGGGTGGAGGAGGGGAACAGGGGTTGGACATTCCCTTATAGATTGCTCTAATTTCTGTTTTTCTCTTACAGAGAATAGGTCTTCCTGAAACTCTCAAGCCTCTCATATCTGCCCAGCCCCCTCAGTGGCGCTGCTATGCAAGGCTTGTGAACCCCCAGCATGTGTTTCTGACTTTTCTCCCAGCTACCTTCTCAGGTGCCAGCCACTGACCTCCTCACGAACCCCCTCAGATACAAACCCCTGAGCTCCCGCACCAGCCCACCAGGCAGCTCTGATTTATTGTCTCATCCTCTTCAGATGTCCAGCGTCTGGCTGCCTGTGGCCTGGAGGGACCCCCTCAAGAGGAGACAAAGCCTAAGTTTGGGGATTGGAGTGGGGCTCCCAGTCTGAAAGATCTAGAAGGAACTGGGGTCAAAGCTACAAAGTCCCAAGTCCCTGTCCTCAGTGTAACCCTGGCTGATGGTAAGGCTGCCGACTCAAGGTGGGCAGGAGTGGGAGTGGGAAACAGACAGGGCTGGAAGACCGCATGACACGTTTTCTTCACAGACAATGTCCAAAATCAAGGAGAGCTAAGCCCACCCTTCTGTCGAGACTTACAGGCTTATGCTGGGCGTCAGGCTTCCCAGACTGAGAGTACAGATGGGCCCCGGACCCGGTGTCCTGTCTACATCTACAGCTGTTCACTGGAAGCGCTGAGGGAACAAATGATTGGCATGCAGCCCCCTCAGGCACCCCGAGACCTCATCTTCCGGTGAGTGCCTTCAGTGTTGACCTATGTCCTCGCCGGGCCATGGCTCCCAGCCAAGAAGTAAGTACACACTAATGGGCATGGGCAGGTAAGTTGCCACATCCTGCTGGCTCCTTGCTTGATTTCCCCCAGCAAACCCTTGAACTTGTTAGGCCATGAATACACTTGATATGTGTCTGTAGATGATCCATTGGGGTGTGGATGGCTAATGAGTCTGAGGTATCACTTAAGGGAGTTAGTCAAGCTCCATTTTCCCTCCCCTTCCTAGGACTCAGTTCCTTGACCACCCCTCCCCATCCTCAGCCTGGATGGAGCCCCGGTACAAGGAGGCAGCTAACCATTGTGCCCTACTGCAGGAGCATGCACAGCGGTGCTATGTCCGTGGTGAGCAGGAGGGCGGTGGGAGGGAGGAGTGGGGCCCTGGGGGAGATACAGGGATTACAGGTTGGGGATTGGAGAGGCCATTCCAGAGCTTGAGCCTCATGGCCCCTTCCACTTCCATCAGGGCTATTCCGCAGCTTGCAGCAAGCACAGAGTGTGACCTCCCAGGATTTGCTGACAGCGGTAGATGCCTGTGAGGAGCTACTACAAGAAGTAGACATCACTCCATTTCTGCTTGCACTGTGTGGCCACACTTGGGGTTTGCCTCATGCACCCCCAAGCCCTGGGCCTCTCAGCCCTGGGCCCTTCAGCAGCAGCATGGAGGAGGGTGCTGAGCCTCGGGAACGAGCTATCTTAGCTTCTGAATCCAGGTTAGGATTGTACTTGAATGATGGATAAGGAGGTACACAGACCAAGTCCCTATAAACAAGGACTTTCCAGTCCAGGGGAGTGACTGTCCAAGGTAGTATCTAAGCACCTGAGAAGCAGTAGTGCTTTGTCGCCGGCTCCCTGACTGCCATGCAGCCTTCCTCCCGCATTTGGCACAGGCAGCAGTCTCCCTCCCAGGCTCTCCCCATCTCCCCTGCTTTGGTGTTGAGTGATGAGCTGAGTCAGGGATAGGGAGTCCCCTGGTGCTAACCGTGAAAGTAGAGACTTGTTCTGAGGACATCCACACAATAGTAGGAATCTCCCCAACCAATCTGTGAATTTCCTGGGGGCCAAAACTGTATTTTGCTCACTGCTAAGTCCCCAGCTCACCTTAGGGGCTCAGTAGGTCGCTGTTGAAGGGAGGAAGGGGAGGAGAGAAGGAGAAAGGCAAGCAGGCAGACAGCTACGGGTCTAGCATCTGCAGTGTGTTAGCATTGGGGAAACAGAAGAACCAGAAGGACGGATATGCTGATGACTCCTAGATTGGAACTCCAGTCCAGTTCTCTCTTTGGAGCTCTAGATACCCACTTTTCATGCACCCCAAATGAATACATTTTCTTCCCACTAACCCTTGATTCTCCACCTTTCTTCTTCATTCATGGTGAAAGATATCACCCTCAACCTAGTGATCCAAGTCAGAAAACTGGGAGTTATCGCTACTCTGTTTCATAGAAATCCCCATCCATTAAGAAATGTGAAAGTTAAGGCCAGATGCAGTGACTCACTCCTGTAATCCCAACACTTTGGGAGGCTGAGGCGGGAGGATCACTTGAGCCCAGGAGTTCAAGACCAGCCTGAGCAACCAAGGGAGACTTTGTTTCTACAAAATAATTCAAAAATTAGCTGGGCGTGGTGGCACGTGCCTGTGGTCCCAGTTACTCAGAAGGCAAGCAGTGATGGCACCACTGCACTCCTACCTCAGCAACAGAGTAAAAGCCTGTCTCAAAAAAAAAAAAAGGAAAGAAAAAAGAAAAAGCAATATGGAGATTAGAGCCAAAATGTGTATGTTGGTTCTCCTCGCCTCTTTCACCACCCATGCCATTATGCTAAGCACTCTTCCTATGGACAAAAAGGCTTCCTGTGCTGCTCCCTAGTTGGGAGGCAGGCTGCTTCAGAACTTGGTGGTTCTTAACACTTCAACATCCTTACCCCAACCATTCAGCATAGAGACCGAGGACCTAAGCGAGCCTGAGTGTCAGAGCACCCGTGTCCCTGGCAATCCAGACCCTGGGCCAGAGATCTCTCTGACAGATGTCTGCCAGCTCAGAGGAGAGGCCCATGGTGCCCTTCATAGCGTCATCCAGGTGGGAAGCTTGGGGAAGGGTAGAAGAGGTGTACAGTCCTGCCTGTGCAGAGGGACAGGATTCTCTCCTGGGTTGGTGGTATGCATGCGTCCTGCTCTAGGGTAGGGAGTAGTGTCCTGTTGAGGGGTGGCTGACATTCTAACCTCCTTCTAAACCCCATAACAGGAGAAGTTCCTAGAGATAAGTCGTCTCCACTTCCGCACAGTGCCTTCCAATCCCCACTACTTCTTCTATTGCCCTCCATCCAGCAGGCGAGAAGTGAGTGGCTCTCTTCCTTACCTCTCTTGTGCTCTCAACCCACAGTCCCAGAGGCCCACCAGACCCTCTTGAGTCTTGGTTCCCTGAGACCTGGATGTTGCTCTTGTCTTGCCTTAGATCAAGCTGTCTCTTTCTTTTGCCTAGGATGAGGGGCCTCGGGACACAGTAGACAGAAAAATCAGTGACCTGGAGTTTTCAGAGGCTGAGCTTATGGGAGAAGAAGGTGTGTGGGCAAGTGAGTCAAGGTGGGGAAGGCTGCTTCACATGGAGATTCAGGGGCCTCCACTGCCAGCCTCTCCCATTGACCACGTGACATGCACTACTAGGAGACACATCTGCCTGCTGTGTGGTCACTGAGAGTGACCCAGAGCTAGAGGTAGAATACCGGGAGAGCCGTGAATCAGACCTGGGACCTGCTGGGCTAGACTCTGCTTCACTGTCAGATGTAGACACTGTGAATCCTGATGAAGACTCCTTCAGTATCTTGGGGGACGACTCACCCACTGGGCCTGAGAGCCTCCTGCATGACCTGCCCCCACTCTTCCTGCACCTCACGTGCTCCGTGCGGCTGCGTGGGCAGCACAGCTCAGTACCTGTGTGCAGCCTGCCTACCTGCCTGGGTGAGTTTGAGGTAGCCCAAGGGAAAGCCAAAGGTCCTGGAACAGCCTGCCTGTGTGGGTGTGGAGGGGAGCCTAGGGGTTGTGTTTTTTAACACTTAGAACTTGGAATCTGTGCTTATCTTAGAGCAGCCCTCAGCAACTGCTAACTTCCCTCCTCTCCTAGGCCAGGTGCTTTCCAGTCTGGAGGGCCCCCTAATTGGAGGCCGAGTTCCCTTGAGGGACCTCAGTGTGACTCTGGATGTCTTCGTGCTGACCTTGCCCCTGGAAGTGGAGCTCCCCACAGCCTCAGACCCTCAGCACCACCGGTGTGGCAGCAAATTTGGTGGGGGGTTTTGGAAGGGGGGTAGGGGGACCACTGAGGGAATCTAGAGCACTTGGGGACTAAGGAGACCTTGAGGAGTCCAAGAAAGGAGTGAGGAGGAGGCCCTGGTAGGATAGTAGCTCCTGACCTTTGACTTTTGTTCCCACCCTGTTCAGGTCAACATCTGAAAGCAGTGCTTCATTCCCACGATCCCCAGGGCAGCCATCATCTTTAAGGTCAGATGATGGCCTTGGGCCCCCACTGCCACCCCCAGAAGAAGAGAGGTACTTCCTTATCTCTCTCTCAGAGTTCATTACTCCTTTTCAGTTTCATTTGCTGGAAACCAATATCTTAACCTTTCTTCCAATTAGGCACCCAGGTCTATCCAGTTTGGCCACGCCCCACAGACTGGCTATTGAGACCACCATGAATGAGGTGAGCCTCTCACCCCCAACACTGTCACTGATTCCCTTTCCATCAGGTGAGCGAGATAAGGTGCCCTCTTTGTTCTGGGATAGAAGTGAGACTTCTCTCAGTCTGTGAGGCAAAGTATCTTCTAGTCTGGGTTGAGGGGATGCCCAAGGAAGCAAGGGAGGTGCCCTTGTCACTTGCTGTCTAACCGTAGATCCGCTGGTTGTTGGAAGATGAGATGGTGGGGGCACTCCGAAGAGGGGGCATCCCCCAGAGCCCTGCCCTGCACCGCGCAGCTGCCCATATCCATAGCTCTCCTGGACGCTCCACTTGCCTTCGCCAAACTCTGCCACTGAGTTTTGTATTTGGGCCAGAGCGTTCCCTCACACAATTCAAGGAGGTAAGTTGCCCTCAGAACACTGCAGGGTCATCTTGGGGCCCATCCTTCCCTGGGTCCCAGGCATAGGACTGGAAGGCCCTCTGTTAGTTCGAGCTCATAGAGTTACCCCTCCTGTCTCCCTACTGACCACATCGTCCGCCCTCACCCCTGTGCTTGGCAGCCCAACTCAGTGGAAAGAAACCCAGCTCCCAACCTGGTCACTGCTCCTGTTGAACCTTAGGCAAGTCACTGAACCTTTTCTTACCTCAGCAGTGGGGATGCCAGCATCTGCTTTACCAGGTAGTTAGGAGCGTCTCATGAGGAAGTGTAGCTCACCACGTGTAGGGAGGGCTGCCCTGCCTAAACTGTGATCTTGGCTCCTGCTCTCTAGGAGTTCCGGCGCCTCCATCTCCCTGGCCATGTTCTTCTTGAAGACCCTGACAGTGGCTTCTTCTTTGTGGCAGCTGGCCAACAGCCAGGTGGGTCCCATGGGGAGCCTTCTTCAGCAGCCTGGGCTTGGCACAGTCACGAGGACAGGGCTGAAGGCATCGAAGGGGAGGTGAGTCTCACCTGGGAATGGAGGGGGGTGGTGGGTGTGTGGGGCCTATACCTCAGTCCTGACTTCCTATTTCTCAGACCCTGACAGCCAGCCCCCAAGCACCTGGGTCCCCAGAGGATTCTGAGGGTGTCCCCCTCATCAGCCTGCCCAGCATGCCACAGGGAGGTAAGAGAGGACTTGGGCCGCAAAGTCTGGGGGCCAGGACCAGATCCCTGACCATGCTTCCATTTTTGGAGGGAGGCCCTAGACAGGATTGAGAGAGGCTCCAGGCATATTCTTTCTCTATCCAGGGAGTCAGCCTGGGCCCAGCCGGGGGCTAAGTCTCATGTCCAGTCAGGGCAGTGTGGACTCAGACCACTTAGGTAAGCTGGGGGGAGGGGGTGAAGGACTCTAAGCTGATGGGAGGTGGGCTTAGGGCTGCACTGGGAAAGGTCTGGGCAGGAGGCATCAGAAGGGACTAATCTGAAGTGCATCAAGCTGGATGCACCTGGAGGATCAGGTGAGTCGGGCCCAGCTTCAGATGGGATTGACTTTCAGTGCATCTGACACAGGTTATGATGGTGGCAGCAGTGGCTCAGACAGTGAGGGTCCCAGTGACACCCTTGGTGAGAAGGCCCCCTTCACATTGCGGACTCCACCTGGGCCAGCACCTCCACAGCCTTCACTCTCAGGCCTCCCTGGGCCCTCCCTGCCTGACTTCTGGCTCATTGTCCGGGTCCTGCAGGACCGTGTGGAAGTGTATGCACATGCACGGTAAGTAGAAGCCAGGGCCTGCACCCTCACGCTCCCATTAACCTCTTCTCTCTGCTCCCACAGTACCTCTCTCCAGTGTTAGAAGTAAGACTTGGGACTGAGAGCTTGGGTAGAGATCCAGCTTGTATTCTTAGGTTGGTGGCTCCTGATCACTTTCCACATCTTACAGCTAAGCACATCACATTGAACTGTCTTATAGGAGTCAAAAGGCTGATGGGGATTTTGGCTTCTAGATGAGCATTAACAACATCTAAGGTTCACAGCAGCTTCAGAAGTTCATGTATAAAAATAAGGCATAATAAGGCTGGGCATGGTAGCTCATGCCTGTAATCCCAGGCATTTGGGAGGCCGAGGCAGGTGGATCACTTGAGGTCAGGAGTTCGAGACCAGCCTGGCCAACATGGTGAAACCCCGTCTCCATTAAAAATACAAAAATTAGTTGAGCGTGGTGGCAGGCGCCTGTAGTCCCAGCTAATTGGGAGGCTGAGGCAGAAGAATCTTGAACCTGGGAGGTGGAGGTTGCAGTGAATGAGATTGTGCCACTCCACTCCAGCCAGGTCAACAGAGCAAGACACTGTCTCCAAAAAAAAAATAAATAAATAAGGCATAATAGCTAATATTTATCAAGTGCATACTGTGTGGTAGGCACTGTTCTGGTGCTTACATGAATCCACTCATTTATCTACATAACAACCCTACGGCGTATTAATATCCTTATCATTTGGGTGAAGAAACTGAAGCACAGGTCAGTTAAATACTTGCCCAAGGCCATAGTAAGTGACAAAGCCAGGATTCCTGCATAGGCATTGGTTCACTACTGCTGTCATCTCAGGGGTGGGTGGGATGTGCAGGGTAAGGTGGGGTTGAAAAGAAAGGAAAACCACCATTCTGACAAACACTTGAGAAGAAAGAAGAGATACACAGCATAAAGGAGCCTCAGTGTGGTGCCCATATGGGAGCTGGTGAAGCAAGTGTGGAGCATCTGGATGCCTCGGCATCCAGAACTGCTCTTGAGAATTCCATCTCTTCCATTTCCCACCAAGTTTACCTCTGTCCAAGCCTGCTCCCTTTTCATGGTTTCCCTTGGCCCCACTTCCGTGACTTTCCTTCCCCTTCGTGATACATATAACTGCAGTTATGTCATATATACATATCATGCCATTACATATAACTCCTCCTCACTGCAGTTCTGGTCAGATTATCCTTCCTTCCCAGGAGCCTGATTCGGGAGGATGGGGGGCCAGGCACTGAGTGTCGCCACCTGCAGCAGCTCCTGGTGAGGCGAGTTGGGGAAATCTGCAGGGAGGTCAACCAGGTAAGGGGCAGGACTCTCCAGGCCCTGAGACAGAACAGATGAGAACCAAATTTCTAAGAACTTGATTTTCAGAGGCTATTGGTCCATTTCAGAATCAATAATTATGGAAAGTCTTTGACTCCCTCAGTTAGTAGGATGCTGTTTCTCCCCCAGCTCCCTACAACCTTGGGAGTGCTCCACAACCCACCCCCAGTAACAGTGGGTTACTCTTTCAAACCATCCCAGTAACCATGAGATACTCCCTCTCATTGCACTGTGCTAGCATTAGTGATATACTAGTGACCCAGACAGAGGGACGCTGTAACTCTGTGGAGCTTGTGTAGAATGGGGGACAGTTGAACAACTGAATTACACAACTTATTTCAATTACAATTGTGAAGAATCCTAAAAGGAATAGTAGAAGCTGCTATGAAAGCATGTAACAGGAATCTGATCATCTGAAGTATCAGGGGAAGCTTCTTAGAGGAAGTGAGTTTTAAGCTGAGACCCGAAGGATGGTGAACAGATTCTGGCGCCAAAGGGACAAGTGTTCCTGACTAAGAATCCCTCTCAGAGGCCTGAGCTCTGACCTCTCAGTGATAACTGATACTCTTGTTAACCTCCAATCCCCAGTGATAGTGGTCATTCTCTCTGGCATTCGATCACCCCTGACCACCACCACCCACTTAGGAGGAGATATTTCCATTCCCTGACCTCGTGCTCCTCCTCCCAGCGACTGCTTCTTCAAGACCTTCATGACAGCCACGTGTGTAACTCTCTTCTGGTGGCCGAGAGTGAAGAAGATCTGTGGCGCAGCGAGACTCCCTTCCACTCCCGTCAGCGGGCACCACTGCCCAGTGATGGTGAGATCCCACCCACGAGCCTCCCTCACAAGGCGGTGCTGCTGCCCTTTCTTTTACTGAATACTCTGGTGAAAGCTGAGGGCCGAGTCCTCATTACTTGGTCATCAGTGCCAGGTACTAGAGAGAGAGCAAGAAGGATGGGACAGGAAAGGATCACTGGACTTGGCTGCTGAACGTCATTGGCTGCTGAACGTCAGTGATTTTCATGGAAGTACTTTCAGTAGAGAGATGGGAATAGAAAGCAGATGAAATTAAAAGTGAAAGAGGGTGATAGGTGGGGCCGAGAATAACTACTCTTACAAGTAGCTTGGCAGTGAAGACAGAGAAAATAGATACGGCAGTAACTAAAGGAAGATGGGGGCAAGGAAGGAGCTTTAAAATAAAGTAGAGACTTGAGCATGTTTATATTCTATAGGGAAAGAGCCAGTGGAGAGGGAGAGGTTGAAGAATACAGAAGAGGAGAGATCATTGAAGGGGCATCAGGCCATGATCCATCTTCCTAAGAGCCTGCCTCTGCCTGGCCCTGTCTCATTACCCAGAATGACCATCTTTCCCTGGCAGGGAAATAGACAGGAATGAAGAGTTTGGGGGAATGAGGACAAGCAGGCCAGTTCCCATGTAAGAGAAATCCAGAGGGGAGGAGCCTGAAGGCCAGTAGAATTGGCCTTCTAATCGGCTGTTCCTCCAGACAGGCAGCCACAGGACTGCTTTGGGATTTCCAGTCATGGTAAGGGAACAAGATAATCCACTCAAGATAGTAACTGAAGTCTCAACACTTCTCCCTTCTCTTACTCCTGATGACCTCTCACCCAAACGGATAGAGGAAAAGCTGAACCATAACATTCCTTTGCAGTTCTTCTCTGGTTTAAAAGTAAAATCAGACTACTCATTATTTTTAACATTCTCAGCAAGTCTGTAGACAAATGTTTCTGACATCTGCAGGAGAGTGCATCTCTCAGCATGTTCTGGGATCTCCTCCTTATCAAAGCAGAGTCCCCATAATTAGTGGACTCCCATGGTTTCAAAGGCATCTTCTGCAAATTGAAGATGAGCTAGGACAGGCTAACACTTTTACTTCAGAATGACTTCCGGCAGCCTGAGATGTAAAGCCAGTCAGAAGCCAGACATAGCCCTTCCTCATTTTAGTCTCTCCAGACTTTTTCCCTGAAACCCTTAGCAACCAGCATTCCATTCCAGAGCCTCTGCCTCTACACAGAAACTGCAGCCTCCTGGGTAGCCTATGTGCTGTTCACACTTGACAGCAGCTTCTCTGAGAGCAAAACTGCCACTTTGATCCACCGCAAGGCTCCCTGGAAACCTGAAAAGGGTCAAAGGAGGCATTGTACTGTGGCCATGGGCTCCTGTGTACTGCCACACTACCCTTTGGGTTTGTTGGCACTTCTGTCCTCCAAAGCCCAGGACACAGTTTATCCCTCCTCTGCAGCTGGTGTGCATAAGCAGCCATACCCTTTTGGTTTTAATGAGGTTACTGTTGGAACTCCCTGGAGGACATAGTGCTACAGTGCTACTGACATATATTATGACAGGGTCAGAATCTCTTGGCATGATCTTGAGGATTTCCTCATGCTTTGCCTGCCTTGTTACCTCTCCTTAGCTCCTTCTCTAAGTCTCCTTGAGATACCTGTAGAAACCTTTGTGCTATGACCTGTGTTCCTAAGGGCACGCGTCTGCCTGGCCCTGTCGTGTTACCCAAAATGATCGTTTCTCTGCAGTAATCAGGGACAGGTCTGGAGGAGTGAGGGCAAGTATGCCAGTTCCCAGGTGAGAAGTCTGTGGAGGGCAGAGGGTGGTGTGTCCCATTTCTAATCCCTGCTCCCCTTCCCCCAGATTATGCTGCTGATGAGAGCTGTGCGCCCCGAGGGTACCTGGCAGCCACAATGCAGTTTGTCCCTGGCCATTTCTCCTGTGACGTTGTGTGGGGAACTGTGATCCGAGTCCATTCACGCCTCAAAATGGGACCCAGCATGGGGGTCTCTCGGGGTATGTGATTGGCATGACAGGGCAGGTGAACATTGGAAGGATCTGGAAAAGGCAGTTTCCTGAGCCCACGTTACTTCCCCAGCCATCCAGGCCCTGCGCTCTGTGCTCAATGCCTTCTCTGTGGTGAACCGGAAAAACATGTTTGTTTATCAGGAACGAGCAACAAAGGCTGTGTACTATCTTCGGTACGTGGCCCTTGGAAGGTGGGTAGGGCATGAGTTAAGGATGGCATGGGAGGCATGTCCAAAGACATGCTGCTCTTTCCCAGGCTCCTGGAGACATCCTGCAGTGACCGACCATGGAAAGGGGATGCGCTGCCCCCTTCCCTCGCTCTGTCCCGAAGCCAAGAGCCCATCTACTCTGAGGAAGCCTCGGCATGTATCACTCCCACTGCCTGATGCCCCTGTGTGCCCCTTGCACTTTGCTCTCTGGAGCCAGGGCCCTGACCACAGTTTTCCCTGTAGGGTCCTCGTTCTCCCTTAGACATGGCCTCCAGCCGCAGTTCAGATGCTGCTCGTCCTGTGGGCCAAGTGGACAGACATATCCAGCTGCTGGTCCATGGTGTTGGGCAGGCAGGTAAGGTCTGAAGAGGGGGTAGGGGAGTGGCCACATGAGGCTCCAGAATCCTCTGGGACTTCTCTTAGAACCTTACAAGCATTACACTGAAGTTATGTAACAGTTGCAGCCCAAGACCTGGCACATATTAAGTGAGCCATAAATACTAGCTGGAGGCTCCAGACCCTCTGGGACTTCTCTTAGAACCTCGTATTACTCTGCCCTGGGCCCCTCCTCTAGTTCCTGCTGTGCTCAGGGCTTTCCGCAAGCAGGAGCTGCATGGGAAGGAACTGGCTTCTGCCATGTTCAGGGATAGGACTGCAGTTGATTGAGGCGCAGCTTGGGGAAGGGGAGCTGGGGTGACTGGAGAACTGGTGGTGCCACCGGCCTGATACCAAACTGGGTTCGGGGTGAAGAGGATGGTTATTTGGGATATATTTTGCCTGAGGTGTCCAGCAGGCAACTGGATTTTCCAGCTAATATTTATAGCTCAGTTAACGTGCTGGTCTTGGGCTGAGACTGTTACATAACTTCTAGTGTAATTCTTGCAACAAACTTATGAAGATGATGCTATTATAATTCTTATTTTATGGATGAAAGCCCTGAGGTTTTGAGAGTAAAACTCAAAAAGTATTCACAGTCACATAGCGAGTAGCTTGGCAGAATTGGAACCTAGTGCTGGCTACCTCCAGAGCCAGCACTCCTAACGCTGCTTCTAGTATACAGGGAATTGTTTGAGTTTGGCATCTTAGGGTTGCTATGGGGGTAGCTGGTTCCTCTACCAGTGTCCCCACCTTCCCACCATGGCTGTGTCAAGGTCCTGAGATCACGGATGAGCTCGTGCGAGTTCTGTGTCGGCGCCTGGATGAGGCCACACTGGACGTCATCACAGTCATGCTTGTTCGGAACTGCAAGCTAACACCAGCTGATGTGGAGGTCAGCTCCCTTCCAGGCACCAGCATCCTTCCCAGACTCAGCCACAGGTGCTGGGACAGTCTAGGCTGGAACTTCCGCATTCAGCTCTGCCCTCTTCTTCCCACTCTGCAGTTCATCCAGCCCCCTGGAAGTCTCCCCTCAGAGGTGCTGCATCTGGCCCTACCCACGTCCTGCAGGCCCTGGCTTCCAGCCTTGGCGTGGTACCTGCGGCAGAACTTGCTCATCTTCCTGCACTCTCCCAAGTACACAGATAGCAACAGCCGGAACCACTTCCAAGTGAGATTGCACTCATTTCTCTCCACACTCATGTGCACCCCTGCCACCTGCCCCACGCACACCCTTACTGACTCTTTCCTACAGATACCACTATATGTACCTTTGTCCATGGACCTGGGTATACCCGTGCCCCCTGGGGACCATTATTACCCACTTGTGTCTTCTCGTGCTCCCATGTCTACCTGCACCACGTTCCCCACTGTGGGCACCCATCCCTGAGGGTTTTGTCCATTTGCTTGGTCTTAGTGCTCTGTGGCTGTTCTTTCCCCAGCATCCACTCCCACCACAGGGTGGCCTCCCTGACTTGGACATCTACTTGTATAACAAGCCTGGTGGACAGGGCACTGGGGGCAAAGGTATGGTGCAGGGCACGGGCCTGTGGCACCACCAGGTGAGGGAAAGCCTTTTGCCATCCTGTTGCTGAGAGGACCTTTCCCAGGCTTGCAGCTGAGTGGAGGGTCTTGGGAGGGGTGGGGTCTGCAAGTCCCACAGCTGAATCTTCCTATGGATTTCTACCCAGGGGTTGCCTGCATCACTCTAGCCTTTGTGGATGAAGGAGGGGCCCCCTTGTCAGTGGCACTGTGGCCCCCCTCCTCTCCGGGACCCCCAGACCCACTGCGAGAGGAGGAATTTGAGCAGCTGACCCAGGTCATCCGCTGCCCGGTTGTTGACGGTTCTTCAGGTGGGACAGCTTGGTCAGAGGATGAGGTGTTCAGTTATTGCTGTGGGAGGTAAGGGTGGTGAGTAGAGGGGGATCTAGGGTCCCCTGGTCTCCTTCCAGCTCAGAATGGGGCCCCACGGCTTCGACTGGATGTGTGGGAAAAGGGGAACATTAGTATTGTGCAGCTGGAGGAGAAGTTCCGAGGAGCAGCTCGCCAGGCCCTGGCCGATGCCATCATCGAGCTTCAGCTGCTGCCAGCTTCACTATGTACAGAGGACACACCCCCAGGTACGCAAGTCAAGAGGTCCTTGGGGTCCAGAGAATGTCACAGATCCAGGCAGGACAGTGTGGCAGGTGAGGGTACAAAGATGGGGTTTAGGGGAAGCATGACAGAAAACTACTACATCAGAATCACTTACTTACAGTTGTCCATGAGCTTGTCTGTGCATCATCCAGGTGCTACACTGGCAGCAGTGAATGGCTGCAGCTGCTCACCCACTTAGACAGGGCTGTTGCATCAGAAGCTCACTTCATACTAACACATGCGGTTGCACACTATCAGTTGTATATACTGTCATTCACTGACAGAGTAGGAGGCAGGTCACTGTCATACCAGTCTTGAGATTCAGTTTTCTGGAATGGGGATTGATGATCAGTGATGGGTGTCTGTAATATCTGGTGTCCACAGGAAGTCTCAGGAACGGATCGTTGGAAACTAAGAGCTCTGCAGGCCGAGCTAGCACCTTTCCCCCTGCCCCTGTCCCTGGGGAGCCTGTGACTCCACCCAGCAAAGCTGGCCGGCGTAGCTTCTGGGATATGCTGGTAATGGGAGGAAGTGGTGAAGTGGGCATCTACCTTTCTGCCTGCCTCCTAGCTCCTCTTACGCTCCCTCCTGCCTCCCAGTCCCCTATAGGCCTTGCCACAGTCTCCTTTCATATGAAACTGCTCTGTCCTGCCAGACACCATGGCATGTACCTTTAGTCCCAGCTCCTCAGGAGGATGAAGTAGGAGGATTTTGCTTCAGGCCAAGGTTCAAGGCTGTAGTACGTTGTGATCATGCCTGTTAATGGCCACTGCACTCCAGCCTGGGCAACATAGAAACACTCTCTTAAAAACACAAAACAAAAACTGCTCTGTCTTTTGGACTGGATTTTGCAGAATGTGGCAGTTCTCACTGATGTAGAGGGAGCCTTAACTTACTATGTGCCTTCACTTCCATTTTTCTTGTCGGATCCTCACAACAGCTTGCAAGATAAGTAGAGCTTTTACAGTGAGGAAAGTGAGGCTCAGGAAAGTTAAGTAACCTGCCCAGGGCTCCTTAGCCTGCCCCTGGGGAAGCCAGGGTCTGAACCCAGACCTCTGAACCCTCCTAGCTCACTGCTGTTCCATAGTGCCTCCATCCCACACCTTTCCTCTTCCCAGTAGCCCTTCCTCATTCACTGCATTGCCCCCAGAGTAAAACAGAATGTGGGGATTTGGGTTCCCCCAAAACAACTGATGACATTGTCCTGGATCGGCCAGAAGACACTCGGGGCCGGAGGCGTCACAAAACCGAGAGTGTTCGGACTCCCGGTGGAGCTGAGCGGGCACCAGGCTCAGATTCTGGAGCCCAGAGACAAAGGTGTGTGTGTGGTGGTATTGTGCCCTGGGAGAGTATGGGCATGAAGTCACAGATGGGCCGTGGTCTGTATAAACATACAAGTGTCATGTATGGACATGAGGCTCTTACTCCCACTGTCTTTCAGACGCCGGACCACACAGCTAGAAGAGGGTGAGGTGGGGACCCTTCATCCTGTGTTTGCCCGTGCTGCTCGGCGCTGGATGGAGTTTATGGTTCAGATTGGTGAGACCCCAGCCTTCCCTCCCATCCCTCAACCCCAGCCTGGTCTCCATCCTGCAGCTTCATAGTGACTCCTCTGCCTCCCAGGTTGTGCCTCAGTGTCCAGAAGCTCCACCCACATGGTGTCCCGGTTCCTCCTTCCATCCATCCTGTCTGAGTTCACCGCACTAGTCACCTCAATGGCTGGAGACACCAGTGTCCGCATCTTTGAGCAGCGTTTGTGAGTGTAGATCCTATAGAATTGAAGGGAACTCCCCTAGACTTGCTAAAAGCTGGGCCTATAGGAAGCCAAACCAGAGGAAACTGAGCTAGGAGAGGTGGAAACAAGGTCCAGGGAGGTGAAGACTAGGCCAGGGAGTGGTGTCATGGATGGCCTTTCTGTCTGCCCTCCCTTTCAATAGGGGTTCAGAGCCAGAGATCTTCAGCCCTTGTTCCCCTGGGCAACTGGGCCCCTCTCCCCGCCCTGCAGCTGAGCGGCGTCTGCTGCTTCTGGGAAGGAACTTCTTGCAGTGGAGGAGACCAACACAGCAGGGTGAGGGCATGGCCTGTGGGGGTAGGCTAAGAATAAGTGGTGGGGTCTCCAACCTTGCAAAGGGGAGGGTGGGATCAAGGGGGATCTGTTCCCAGGCCCCTGTTGTGCCCCTCCCCCATCCTGTAGCTGCCAAAGCCATGCAGCGCTTCGAGCCAGGAGGTGATGGGAGCTCAGGGCGAAATGCTCCCCGGCAGAGGCTCTTGCTACTGGAGGTCGTGGACAAGAAGGTACATATGGGCCAGGGACTGGGTGGGAAGAAGGGTTCCATAATCTCACTGACCCTGACCCCCGACCTCCAGCTACAGCTGCTGACCTACAACTGGGCTCCAGACCTGGGGGCAGCATTGGGCCGAGCACTGGTTCGCCTGGTGCAGTGGCAGAATGCACGAGCCCATCTCATCTTCTGCCTACTCAGCCAGAAGCTTGGACTCTTCCATCATTATGGCCAGTTGGACTTCCCTGTGCGAGACGAAAAGGTGCCTGCTGCTCTGGCTCTTCCTATAGTTTTGGCTACTGAGGGGTCAGTTAAAGGAAAAACCAGCTCAGAAGCTGGAAAGATGGGACAGACTGAGGGCAGAGGTAGTGGGGAGGGAGTCTGAGAGAGGAAGCCATGGGATGAGAGAGCGCGTCCGAGGGCAAAGGCTGTGAACCCATTGCAATGCTCCGTCTCTCAGGAGCCAAACCCATTCCTGCTGCCAACCATGGAAGTGGAGACCCTCATCCGGAGTGCAAGTCCCCCGCTGAGCCGTGAGCAGGGCCGGCTGAGTGGGTCCTCTCGTGGTGGGGGTCCCCTTCCCCTGGACACATTCCCCTTTGACGAGGCCCTAAGGGATATCACGGCTGCCCGCCCCAGCTCCATACTTGGTCCTGTGCCCAGACCTCCTGATCCTGTCACCTACCATGGACAACAGTTCCTAGAGATCAAGATGGCAGAGCGCAGAGGTGAGGGTACTGGGACAGGCAGCGGGGACAGGAAATCTGTGGAGTCTGGGAGGAAGCGGGTGACAATGCCTGGGGCTACTACTAATGCCTTCAACCCTCAGAGCTGGAACGCCAGATGAAGATGGAAAACCTGTTTGTAACCTGGCAGCAGCGTTCTACTCCAGCCACCATGCCCATCAGTGTGAGTGACCCCAGCTTGCATCTTCCTCGAGGATCTCTGATCCTGCCCCGTCACTGCATCATGCTCACTGCCCTGTTTCCCCAGGCTGGAGAGCTGGAGACCCTGAAGCAGTCATCTCGCCTGGTGCATTACTGTGCAACAGCCATGCTCTTCGACCCAGCTGCCTGGCTGCATGGGCCCCCAGAGACCTCTGGACTCCCTGAGGGGCAGGTGAGGCTGACTCCCAGACTTCTAGGAGACCTTTACTTACCCCACAGTGACCCCCCTCTTCCATCCCCAGCAGGATGGTTGACAGTGGGGAGAATCTTCCTTGATCTTTACTCTCACAGCGGCGCCATCGCCCTGAGTCAGGGTCTGGGAGCCGAGAGGCCCCCACAAGCTGTGAATCCTTGGATGTGTCGCCCCCGGGAGCCCGTGAGGAGCCTTGGCTGAAGGAGCTGAGCTTGGCTTTCCTGCAGCAATATGTGCAGTATCTGCAGAGCATAGGTTTTGTGCTGGTACCACTGCGGCCCCCCTCACCTGCCCGCAGGTGAGCCCGTCCCTGCTTTCCCTTCTCTCTTCTCCTCCTGCACTGCAAGTGAGGCCCCACAGGCCCTTCCTCCTTTTACAAGGTCCTATGTTGACAAGTCGGGCTGGGCCCGTGCATGTTCATCCCACCAGGCTCGCACATGTGTGAGGGTTTTGGATACTTTCACACAGCCCTTGGACGTGTCCTGCAGAACTTGTATGCTTTGTGGAACTCATGATGACACTTGTACACAGAACTGTGTCCATTCTCACAAAGCTCATGCCTACACATATCTTGTACACTTACACGCTTGCATACATCTCCCTATGTGAATTTTTTTTGGAGATGGAATCTCGCTCCGTCGCCTAGGCTGGAGTACAGTGGCGCGATCTCAGCTCACTGCAACCTCCACCTCCTGGGTTTGAGCAATTCTTGTGCCTCAGTCTGCCAAGTAGCTGGGATTACAGGTGCACACCACCCTGCCTGGCTAATTTTTTGTATTTTAGTATAGATGGGGTATCACCATGTTGCCTAAGCTGGTCTTGAACTCCTCAACTCAGGCAGTCTACCCACCTCAGCCTCCCAAAGTGCTAGGATTATAGTTGTGAGCCATTACGTCCGGCCTGCACATGTAAATCTTGTACATACTCCTAAGCCTCTGGATCTAGGCCTTAATGATTCCTGTCCTGATCATCCCACTGACCTCTCCTGAGATTTGATGTGGTTCTTGGCCCAGGGAAGTCCTTTTCTCACCAAGGACCTCTATGCTAGGCCTACTTGCATCACTGTCCTCGGCCTGTTCTTGGTCATGTTCACCCACTGGCCAGTACTGACAGGTCTGAGTCTTGGGAAGTAGGCAGCCCCTCTGTCACCAACTCCATTTCCCCTGAGCGCAGGGACAACTCTGCAGCCACCTTTTCATCCACGATTAAATCTCAGATTCCCATGGTTGTGGCCCGTGCTCTATGTTCCTCTCCAGACTCTGTGTTCCCTGCCCTTTCCCAGTAGCTGTATGTGAAAAATGAGCTGTTCACCTTACACACAGCTACTTTTGTGTCTCCAGATTTGTGAGTTTATCAAGGCATGTTCTCCCTCCTCTGTTTTCAGTTAGAACCTTTTCAAGCCAGTAGTCCAGAAAGCCAGTTCTAACTCTCCCATGTTTCTGTGCCCAGCTCTCCACTCCCCAGGTTTCCCTCTCTTCCAGGCATTAGGAAGAGAAGGCGTGCCTGCCTCTCCTGTGATCCCATCTCAGGCCAGGCTGGCCCCTCCTACCCTGGGGAGGAGCTGCACAGCTTGCTGCCTTGACAGTTCCCAGCTCTAGGAGCTTGTCTAAAGGACTTTAATTTGCACACTTGCCATCAGTTATGCTCTTCCCCCCAAATCTGAATTCCTTTTTAAAACAAGACACTGAGTTTAAAAAAAAAAAAAAAGTTTCTGCAGCAAAATTTAAAGCCAGGCCTTCCCTTCCCGCCAATCTTTAACAATCACTAAGTCTTGTCCCAGTTTCCTTGAGGTTTAAATGGGACACTTTTTCCACCAGAGGTTTTGACCCCCAGCAAGAATTCTGGCAGTTTATAGCCCCTTGGCGTGAGTGGGTCCCCCTGACCCCTTCTGTTCTGTCCCTTCTTCCCAGTCCTTCCCCTGCTTCCCTTCTCCCCTATCCTCTGCACTAAACTGTGATGAGCAATATGCCTCTTAAAGCCTGGAACTCCCATCCCACAATCAAAAGACAGCAGCTTTTCCCTCTCAGAGGAAGGTACCTAACCAGGCATCAAGCATCTCCTTGAATTTTCCTAATCAAATCGTAGACATGCATCACCCTCCCCCTTCTCTCTCCTGCCCAGCACGCACCCTCTCAGTAGCAGAGAGGCTTAGACTCCACCTCCCCACTGAGCACTGTTTTTGCCTCCCTTGAAGCAGCAGCTGCTGTGGAGAAAGCCCGGCCCTGTAGTCTAGACCTGGACTCCAGGCCCAGCCTTGCCACTCACAGTGGCACCTTTGTGGGCCTGTTTCCTCCCCTGCAAAATGATTCCATGTAAAACGGATTCTGGGTCTGATCACCGTGACTGCATGCCACTTGCCTGCCTCATCCTCTTATCCCTCCTCCTTTTCTACAGCACCAGCCGGCCACGGGCCATGGCTATCCTTGGAACAGAGGGTCGAGGCTCCTTCTCCTGCCCTAAAACCAAGACTGATGGGAGCCCCAAGGTAACTTGTCATATAATGGTAAAGTTACTGATGCTGAATTACTTTCCCATGGCCTGAGGTCATTGACCCTGAGTGATGTACCAGGGTCACTGATCCCAGACTGACACCATTAAAGTCAGGATCTAAGGGACTTCCACCCTACTGATTCGAGGCTGCTGAGCCCCCAATCCTTGCCCCGTTTTTCCTTTCTTCAGAGTACTAGCTCTCCAGTAACCACCTACCACCTGCAGCGGGCACTGCCTGGGGGCATCATCCTCATGGAACTGGCATTCCAGGTAAGCAGGAGGAGCACTGAGTGGAGAGAGCCAGACCCACCTGTCTCTTGCCTTCCTGATCTCATCTTCACCTTCCCTCCAGGGCTGTTACTTCTGTGTCAAACAGTTTGCCCTGGAATGTTCCCGAATCCCAATGGGGCAGGCTGTCAACTCACAGGTATGTGGATGAGGTGTAGGCACAGTCAGTGTACCCCAGTGTCCTGTGGGCAGCATGGCTCCATGTCTCATTTGCTGGGCAGTAGAGTAATGCAGTGGGCAGGCTGGCTTAGTGACTGATGCAGTGCTGTGGCCTGGCTAGGTCAGTGCTCATTCTGGTGAGCTGCACTCACTACCAGGCTGACCCTGTCGGTCATCCAAAGTGTGTTCAGCTGTAGCCCTGAGGCAGCACAGTGCCTGGTCTGGCCTGTAGTCATCTAGGGTCTGTGGCAGACCCTAGTGGAATCTGGGATACAGCAGAATGGCCCAGTGTCTCAAAATGGCCCTAGTTTCGTGGAAGTAGTTACAATACAGTATGAAAAAGGGAGGCTAGAATGAGGAGGCCTTCCCACAGACACCATTCTGGCAGAGGGCATTCCACTGGGCCACAGCAGCAGGGGAAAAATTGCACTTCTTTCCACAGGAGGGAAACATGTATTGGGCAGCCAGTGCAGCCACACCCTAACCCTGTCTCCTGCTGCTGCCTCCCCAGCTGTCCATGCTGTTCACAGAGGAGTGTGACAAGGTGCGAGACCTGATGCACGTGCACTCATTCAGCTATGACTTCCATCTGCGCCTCGTGCACCAGCACGTACTAGGTGCCCACCTGGTGCTGCGGCACGGCTACCACCTCACCACCTTCCTGCGACACTTCCTGGCCCACCACCCCGACGGACCCCACTTCGGCCGCAATCACATTTACCAAGGTCAGTGCCCAAGGGCAAGCCAGTGAACCCAAAAAAGAACAGGCCACAGGTGCCTCCAGGTCAGGGCTGGTGGGACTACCTCCCTGGACAAGTGGTCCCATGTTGTTAATTACCTCATGTCACACATATCATGTCCCCATGTTTCTGTCCTGTGTCTTTCTTACCAGAGTTTGGACCCCATGTCACATGTTCCCTGCCCTCTGAGTTACTTTTGTCCCATCTCAGTGTTCCACAGGAATGCAGGAGCTCCTAAGGAAAGCAGACCCACTCTGCCTGCCAGTCAGAGCTTTAAAGACTCCCATCCCTGTGCCCCACCAGATCAGTGTGTCTGTCCTAGGCTTAGTGTCTGCTGTCTCCTGTTACTTACCCCTCAGGGACATTGGAGCTCCCCACACCACTCATCGCTGCCCACCAGCTGTACAACTACGTGGCTGACCATGCCAGCTCTTATCACATGAAGCCACTGCGAATGGCCCGGCCAGGGGGCCCAGAACACAATGAGTATGCCCTGGTGTCGGCATGGCACAGGTAAGGCTGGGAGGGGCATCCAGCATGCATGCTGCAGGAGCTGGGGCTGGGACATACTTGCAGTAGGGAGACCCGTGTTTTCTTGGGCAGGGTGAGGTTTGTTTCATTAGAACCCCAGAGTTGACATCTCCCCAACCTGTCCTGCACAGCTCTGGCTCCTACCTGGATTCTGAGGGACTTCGCCACCAGGATGACTTTGATGTGTCTCTGCTTGTCTGTCACTGTGCTGCACCCTTTGAGGAGCAAGGAGAGGCTGAGCGGCACGTTCTGCGGTCAGCAGATCCCCTACCTTGAACACGCCCATTTCCCAGCCTGCCCCACCCTGCCCTGTGTGTCTCTTGCTATGACCGCCACTCTCCTGCCCTGCTCCCCACTCCAGGCTACAGTTCTTCGTGGTGCTCACCAGCCAGCGAGAGCTCTTCCCCAGGCTCACTGCTGACATGCGCCGCTTCCGGAAGCCACCCAGACTGCCCCCTGAGCCAGAGTCTCCTGTGAGTTCAGCTGGCAGCCCTGGGGAGGCCTCAGGGCTTGTTCTAGCGCCAGGACCGGCTCCTCTGTTCCCACCACTGGCTGCAGAGGTGGGCATGGCACGGGCACGACTGGCTCAGCTGGTACGGCTGGCTGGAGGGCACTGCCGTCGGGACACCCTTTGGAAGCGCCTCTTCTTGCTGGAGCCACCAGGGCCTGATAGACTGCGGCTAGGGGGGCGCCTGGCCCTGGCAGAGCTGGAGGAGCTCCTAGAAGCAGTCCATACCAAATCCATTGGGGACATCGACCCCCAGCTGGTAAGGGACTGTGGGCTCCCGAAAGAGCTGGGGTAGATGCCAGGAATTCCACTGGCAGCCAGGGCAGAGAGCACAGGAATCTGAGGTGACTGGCACAGAAGACTCAGGCCTGTGGCTCCTCCCCCAGGACTGCTTCCTATCCATGACAGTCTCCTGGTACCAGAGCCTGATCAAAGTTCTCCTAAGCCGCTTCCCCCAGAGTTGTCGCCATTTCCAAAGCCCAGACTTGGGAACTCAGTACCTGGTAAGTCCCCTTGAGCTTCCTCTGAAAAGGACAACATAGCAGAAATCCTCACCAGACAGATGCGCCCCTCAGCCTGACCAAGCAAGCTCTGCTCTGGAGGGAGGCCTAGACAGAATGGGACTCCACAGATACATGTAAAACCCTTCCAGTACCGGGCATCGAGCTACAGTATGTGATTCTCTGAGCAGCTCTGCCCTCAAAGACTCACCAAGAACACAAGCTTTGGCTTGAGATCCTGAGGGCCAGGCTCTGGAACTGACAACCCAAGGAGCTCTCAGAACTTTGTCAGTAGGCTGGAGCCCCAGAAAGGACCCCTTGGGCTTTGAAGCCTTGTTACTCAAAGTGTGGTCCACAGACCAGCAGCCGCAGCACCTGGGAGCTTGCTGAAACGCAGGCTCTCCGGCCACATCTGAGACTGCTGACTCGGGATCTGCAGGTTGTCAGTCTCCCCAGGTGATTTGTGTGCACACTGAAGTTTGAAAGCGCTGCTGTAAAGGACAGGTAGAGCTGCGGTGGTGGAGCATGGGGCATTAAGGAGCCCACAGAGATGGGCCTGACCAGAGCTGAGGTTCAAGAGAGGAGGCGTTAACAAGAGAAGATTTCAAGTGAGAAAGTAGGAGGTGGAGCCAGGTGAGGGGTCCTGCAGCACAGTGCTTGTGCAGAGGATTCATTTCAGGGTGCAGGAAGGGTCTCCCAGAGAAGCCGAGGTCAGTTAGGATGAGGCTGCAGTAGTGTCAGCGGTTGTGAATAGAGGGGGGTGCCCCTGTGGGTGGTGGGAAGGCTGGAGCAGGAGTGGGTTTTGGGGAAGGGTGACAAGTCCAACCTGGGGGAAGTTGAGTCTGGGGTCCATAAGGCCCTTCACTGTCTGCAAGGTTTGTGGGTACCAGGGATTCAAGCTCAGGAGAGTCGTAGGCAGCAGCTCTGTGAACAGGTGGTAACTGAAGCCTTGGGAGAGCAAATCATCCCAGGATGGATCACTAAGCAGAGTGTTAGGGAGCAGACAGACATAAGGGGACAGGACAATCCCAGGGGTGGTCAGAGAGGAGTCCCAGGACAGGAGGCAAGGAGGTTGTGCCAGGGGTACAGCACTCTCCATTGATTGGCTTCAGCGTACCAGGCTCTGTGTGGGGCCTCCAGGATCTACTGTTACCCCTCATTCTGACGCAGCTCAGATGGGCTGACCAGCAAGCCAGCGAGGATGAGGACTGAGGCTCAATTTGGAGACATGGTTCTATGTGACCTCGGGGTACAGGCGGGGTGAGGTGTGGAGATGGAAGTAGGCCTCTCCTCATCCTCCCTTCACCTCAGGATGCCCTGTGGAAGGGTCTGTGTCACTTCGGGGGAGAGAGACCTCAGTCCCCTTCTCATCTTTTCACTGCAGGTTGTGCTGAATCAGAAGTTCACTGACTGCTTTGTGCTGGTGTTTCTGGACTCCCACTTAGGAAAGACGGTGAGAACAAGTCGGGGGCTTTGTGTCAGCCTTGTGGAAGGCCGTACCCCAAATGTATGGAGCCTGCTGGGTTGGGGTGCCCACCCTTTCTGAGCCCTGCCTCCTGTCCCCACCCATGCCCTCCTCTCACCAGCGCACCCCCACCATGTTCCCCACAGTCTCTGACAGTGGTTTTCCGAGAGCCCTTCCCAGTACAGCCGCAGGACAGCGAGAGCCCCCCTGCCCAACTAGTCTCCACCTACCACCACCTGGAGTCTGTCATCAACACAGCCTGTTTCACCCTCTGGACCCGCCTCCTCTGAGAGAGTGGACTGGACCACTGCATGTCACTGTTCCTCGAATCGTGGGTCTACAAGATTGCCCGCCAGAGGCAGGACTGACCAGCCCTTCTGGGCCCCAGGGCAAATCAGACACTGAGTGACACCAAAGGCTTTGTAACTATGTCTTGGGGGTCTGCTGCCCCAGCCTGGCGGCAGGAACTGCCCTCCTCAAACACCCACAGCCAGTGACCCATCCAGGACTTCAGAGGATCAGGTCAACCCAAGGACCCCCTTGGGCCCTTCTGGGGTACTCCTTTCTGCCCACCTGATAGAGTCTCGGGAGTTCACACGGGGTGGCAAAAACTTACCCCCTAGAGCTCCTCTACCTGATCCTGCCCCCCAGCCTTTGACCATGGTCAGCCACCTGTGTCCCTTGAGCCCTCGGGTCTTCACCTCCCACTTGGACATCACTGCTGGACATTCCCATTGAGATGACAACTGGGTTCCAATCCCAGCTTTGCCTTTGAAGCACCTGTGGCCACTGTCAAGTCCCTTTGCTCTCAGACCCTGGGTTTCTCATCCTTTAATGAGAAGGTGGGCTCAGAAGCTCTCCCACCTCCACAGCAACCCTGGCACTGGCTTCTCAATGGGAGGGAAGCAACAGAGAAACTGAAGTGTTAGACACTATGTGTCCCCCCACCCCATAACAGAGACATAAGACAATGTTCAGCGGGTCATCTTTAATGCAGAGGAGGAGATGGGATCTCACTCGCTGTCTGGAGGCATGTGGGTGGTGTGCAGGCCCTCACTGGCCACCTTAGGGTGGCCCCGCCTATCCCAGTATGAACGTAGCCAACTCAAGCCCTCTACTGTGTCTCCTGTAGGGAGAGGGAGGCCTGGGCATCTCAGCCCACAAGGAGAAAACAGCCCCTGTCCAGTCCCTCCAGAGCTCCCTTCCCCAGGGCCACCCCTCACCTCGAGGCTGATACTCGCAGCCCACAAAGCCTTTGTAGCCTTCATCTTCCAGCAGTTGAAACAGATAGGGGAAATTCAGCTCTCCGGGGCTGCTGGGCTCCCCTCGGCCTGGGACCTGTGCCACCTGCACATGCCCTGGGGACAGATGTGGACAAATGTGGGGTCCAGGCTCCTGCCAGGGCCTGAAGAACAGATGTGGGGATTGAAAGGGTGGGAGGGCACAGGAAGCTCCTCTCACCAACAATGGGCAGGAACTCCTGGATGTTTCCTGTCAGGTTCCCATCCATGATCTGCCAGTGGAATATGTCCTGGGGAAGAGGATACTACAGTCCAAGACCCCGCAGGCCCCACCCTCCTTCCGGTCTTCAAAGTACCCCCTTTCTTCCACTTACCATTTGTAATTGGAGGTTGGGTCTTCCCACCTTCTGTAAGATGGCTGCCGCTGTAAGAGAAGCCAGGGAGGGGGCCGTAAGCCTCGAGGAGAGCACAGGAATCAAAAGGGACAGAAGGAGACAGGGCTGGGGTCATACCCTGCTGGGGCGTGTCCAGGAAGTACTGGGGGTCAGTGATGCGGGTATTGATGGGCTCCAGCAGTCCCACGAGGTTCTCCTAGCAGCATGTCAGGTGCTGTGAATAGAGCTCCTTCCCAAGTTCGTCCCCCATCAGTCAGTCACTGGTCAAGGCCCTCACCTGTCCCTCTGACCTAGGCTGGCAGCCTCATGTGCTGTCCCCACTGTGCACCCCCTCCTCCGCACACCCACAAAGACATGTAAGTACATGTGTGTTTCCACCTTTCTCACCTCAGCCAAAACCCCAGCTGCATGCCTCAGGTTCTCCAGAAAAACGATCTCCATCTCAGCTTTGACTGCTATTCGATCAGCTCCCTGGGGTACTCGGCCAGCCATCAGGTGGATCCTGTGAGGAAGATGGACTGGAGGCCTTGCCTCCCTTGGCTCTCTGCACCTCTTCCAGGATTCCCTGACTCTGCTGGCCCTTGCCTGTCTCCCCAGGTCTCCAGTCCATGGCACCTGAGCCACGATGCCCAGGCATCCCAGCACTTTTCAGAGACACTTCAGTAACGGCCGAGGGGAAGCCCTTTCCCAGACACCTCAGCGTCCACCCACCGCCCCCTGCCTCCAGTACTTTCTACCTTTCCTTCCCTCGGTCCTTCTCCTCAACCTATAACCTGCTAAATTCTCACCTTTAAAAATTATCCTGACCCTTGGTTGCCCTTCTCAGGTATTCCATGCTGCTGTCTCTACTTCCTCTCCTTGCATCTACTACTTAGACTCTTCCCATCTTTTTTCTGCCCCCACCATTGACCAATAGTGATCCCCTCTTGCTAGTTCCTTCTGAGCCTGTTTGGCCTCTGCAGGATTTGACATTTGATCAGCCCCATTTGAGCCTTCCACCTCCTCCCATCATCCCCTGATCTTATCAGCCACATCCAGCTCTGAACAGACATTCCAGGCCTCCCCACCCCAACAGGCTACATATATGTACAGCCTTAGGAACACTGCTGAACACACCAGGCTGCCTCTTGCCACAGCACCCTTGCTGGGAATACTTTACCTTCTGCCCATCAAACAATGCCCACTCCTTGAAGACAGTCCAAGCATCACTACCTGTAAGCAGCTTTCTCTGATCCAGACAGGGTTAGGTGCCTACCCCTGCTCCCACAGCTTCCTGGAATAGGGCTGTCCTCAAATGGATCACTGCATATATTTACTCTCCTATCTTCCTAGGCAGACTGAGCTCCCAGCATGGGATCCCAGCATGAGGTGAGCATGAAAGAGTGGCAAACAGACTGGCACAGGACAGATAAAATACAAAAGGCAATTTACAAAGGACCAGGACCGCAGAGGCGGAGATAGGCCAGTGGGCTCAGACTTCTGAGCGTCTCAGACTTCAGGTCCTCGACTCCCTGAACCTGCGGCAGGGTCATGGGTCACAGAGGAGTGGGGCTTGGGGTGGAGGCGGGGTACCTGGGACAGCCCAGGGCCTTGGCGTATCGCACGGCCTGCTCCAGCCCCTCTCGGAAGGCCGCCTGTCTCCCGGGGACGGCCCCCAGCCCCATTTCCCCCTTCTCTTGGTCTCCTGCAGAGAGAACGGGCCTCAGCCCCCGACTCGGGCACTCCCCTGCCCGCGTCCCGTCCCCCACCAGCCTCCCGGCCCGCGGCGCACCCGGGGGCGTGTTGATCAGCACAAGCCGCAGCCCCGCTTCTCGCGCGGCGCGCGCCAGCGCCTCAGGCGGCTCCGCGTACGGCCAGGCCACCTCGACGGCCTCGAAGCCCGAGCTGCCCGCGGCCCGCAGCCGCGCGGGGAGGCCGGGGAGCTCGGGGAACAGCCAGGACAGATTGGCGGAGAAGCGCAGCGGCGCCATGCCTGGGGAGGCCGGGCCGGGCAGAGTCCGAGGGCTCCAAAGGCGGCGGGCGGGGCGGGGCTCTCCTTGCTGGCCCTGCGAACAAACGTGCACTCTTCCGGGTTAGAAAAGCGAAGTGCTGTAAAAATCCGGGCCTTCGCGAAAAGCGCCTTCCGTGAGCGAGAGAGGGAGCGCGGGGAGAGGCGAAGGGGCGGGGCGAGGGCGGCCGGAAAAGGAGCGGGGCCCGCGCCGGGAGAAGGTGGGGAGGCCGGGCTCCCGGACCTGAAAGCCGGACGCGGGGCCAGAGAGAGCTGGCTGCCCGAGGGCCAGGTTGCAATGATGGGACGTGCACTTTAATACTGAGTCTTTCCTCTGTTTACAAAAATGCTATCTGTTCGTTAAGCAACATTTGAAAGCTGTATAACCAAATAAAGAAGCACTTTTATACCACCAGTTATCACACCACTAGCCTGTTAGCTTTCCCGTCCAAATTTTAAAATATGCAGTTTTTTTCTTTGGAAATTGTGATCATTCGGTATATGCGGTTTTATAGCCCTTTTTCATGGAATATTATTTTGTGAGCATTTCCTCGTGTTTTCCAATAGCCTTCAAAATCTGTGCCTTCGCTGCTCATTGTTGCACACCTAAGCAGCAAGTCATTTATTGTACTTTGTGGTTGGATATTGTGTGTGTGCGCGCGCGCTGCAAGCGCACTTTCATGCACTTCTTAGTCCCTATCTCTGACTCTTTTTCAAGTCTTTTTCTAGAGATGTCCATCACAGTGTTGGCCCGTTCACGCCGTTTGTCTTTTGCAAGGGAAACGGCACCATTGAGTAGCTATGGGTGAGCTGTCCTCTCTTAGCCTTAGCCTCAGCTGATTGGACCAGGGAGGTCATCTGATCCCAGGACAGCCAATCCGTAGACTGGTCAAAGACCTCTTACTTGCGTGGTTTGGAAAGATAAGATAACCAATCAAGAGTTCAAACAAAGAAATGCTGAGAGTCAACAGGTGGTGTTGCCAGAAGGTGACTGGGCTGTAGAAACGAAATAAGACAGAGTCCTATGGTAAAGAAAAGCTAGAGCGGAAAGGAGGGGAACCAAGTCCTGTGAATAGAGGTAGCACACTGAGAAGCCCATGTCGTCCCAGGGGTGCCCAAACCCATAGCTGCCCCCAGGTCTGTGCACTTAAGGCTGGGATGCTTAGACTTTCCTGGGTTTCTTTGTCTGTATAGCATCTTAATGTTTCTTGAGATAATTTGAATGATTTTACTTTCATCTACAATAACCCACCTGATTGGGCAGGTTCTTAGGGGTAGAATTACATGGTCAAAAATAGGAACATATCTAAGTTATTGATGTCTTAAATTTCCTTTGAAAAATATAAATCTATATCCCAACAGTTCATGAGTAAACGTCATCTTGATCTATCGTCTGTGCTAACTTTGACAGAAAAGCTGAAAGTGCAACATTAGGAACACCCAGCTTCCACTGATTGTTCTGTCAACACTCAACTCCATCTCAAATGAGGCTAACTCAGACACCAGGGATCCAGCCTGATCCCGTGGTGAACCCAAATGCTTAGAAGGTTCCATTTCTTCAGCTCTGCCTCCAAGAACAGACTGCTGCCAACTGACACTGATCACCTGATTTCTTGCTCATTTGCAACTGGTTTTATACTAGGACCTTTGCCTTGTCTTGGAATGTGTTTCTTGGGTATCGTCCTGTCAAGATCTCACTAAGCTTAACATTGGAATCAATCCCAACTTTAGTGTGTGTGCAATCCAAAATCAACAATACAGAGTAACATCCAGAGGAAGTAATTCCTTTATTACCACCTCACTGTTGATCTCTGAGTATGCAAATTCCATTTATGATGTTGAAAGCACCACCATCTGCTGAGCTCTGCGTCAGAAACAAAATGTGTCCAACTCCCAATGGTCCACCCCTTTTTTCCTTGGACATCCCTTAGGGCAGTAAAGATTATGTATAAACTAGACATACATGACTCGCTTTCCCCTTAATTCCCTTACAACACCTTCACATAATATGCCCAAATAAATATATAAGGAGTGCAATGTCCATGAAAATTATTTGCTTTATTCACCTTCGGCTATGTCTTATCCCACCTTGCAACACAGGCATGAGACTAAGTTATCACAAGTTTAGATTCTTTGCATTTGCCTTTTTTTCTGGCTTTATTGTACTTCACAGATATGTATTTAGCTTTTAACCAAATAATTTGCACAGGTGTGGTATTAAAGTAACAACAATTTGTAAATAGTTGCATGGATAATGGCAAAAACTTTAGTACAGAGTTCAGAGTCTCATTTGATCACTGGATAGCATTTGGCAATGCAGTAAAACATATTACAACTCATGTGAAATGCAAATCAAAACCTCAATGAAATTCTATTTTATGCCTTTCAGATCAAAATTCAGCATAATGGTGATGACCTCTAGAGGAGGACGGAAGAGGGTAGCATTGGAGCCTTTGAAAGCATTAGTTATCCTTTCTCTTACCTTGGATAGCACATTCATGTATGTTAACTTTACTACTCTTCTTTAGAGTTAACATATATTTTATAAATATCATTTTATATGTTTTATATTTAATAAAAACACATTTTTAAAACCTGTATGCATTTACTGCCGTCTGTTAGCATATTTGATATTAACATCCTCATTGTGGTATCATTATAATCTCAAGATTTTTCTACAGGTTCAGCTTGTTCGTATTGTTTGTCTAGTTTGAATTATAATGATCACTTCTTAGACTCAACTTGCCACTGCTCAGTATAGTGATCTTTTATTGTATTATCTGCCCAGAACCTATGGCAGGCAGCCTGTAAAATGGTCCCCAATGGGTCAGAGCGGGTGGTTCACACCTGTAATCCCAGCCCTTTGGGAGGCTGAGGCAGGAGAATAACTTGAGCCCAGGAGTTTGAGACCAGCCTTAGCAACCTAGTGAAACCCCATCTCGACAAAAATATAAAAATTGGCCAAGCATGGTGGCATGTGTGTGTAGTCCCAGCTACTCCAGAGGCCGAGGTGGGAAGATCGCTTGAGTCTGGGGGGTCCAGGCTGCAGTGAGCCATAATTGCACCACTGCAGTCCAGCCTGGGTGACAGAGCAAAATCCTGTCACAAAAAATAATAAAATAAAATAAAATAAAATAAAATAAAATAAAATAAAATCGATAGACCATTAGCAAGATTAACCAAGAAGAGTGAAAATCCAAATAACCTCACTAAGAAACAAAACAGGAAATATTACCACTGACACTGCAGAAACACAAAAGATCATTCAAGGCAACTATGAACATCTTTATGCACATAAACTAGAAAACCTAGAAGTGGATACATTCCTGGAAAAACATAACCTTCCTTGCTTAAATCAGGAAAAATTTGATACTCTGAACAGAGCAATTGGCAAGATTGAAATGGTAATTTAAAAATTACCAACAAAATTAAGTCCAGGACCAGACGGATTCACAGCAGAATTCTACCAGACATTCCAAGAATTGGTGCCAATCCTTTTGACACTATTCCACAAGACAGAGAAGGAAGGAACACTCCCTAATTCATTCTATGAAGGCAGCATCACCCTAATACCAAAACCAGGAAAGGACACAACTAAAAAAGAAAACTACAGATGAATATCCTTGATGAACATAGATGCTAAAATCCTTAACAAAATACTAGCTAACCGAATCCAACAACATATCAAAAAGATAATCCACCACGATCAAGTGGGTTTCATTCCAGGGATGCAGGGATGGTTTAACATATGTAAGTCAATAAATGTGATACACCACATAAACAAGAATTAAAAACAAAAATCACATGATCATCTCAATAGATGCAGAAAAAACATTCGACAAAATCCAGCATCCCTTTATGATTAAAACCCTCAGCAAAATTGGCATATGAGGGACATACTTTAATGTAATAAAAGCCATCTATGACAAACCCACAGCCAACATAATACTGAATGGGGAAAAGTTGAAAGCGTTCCCTCTGAGAATGGAAACAAGACAAGGCTGCCCATTCTCACCACTCCTCTTCAGCATGGTCCTGGAAGTCCTAGCCAGAACAATCAGACAAGAGAAAGAAATAAAGGGCATCCACATTGGTAAAGAGGGAGTCATACTGTCCCTGTTTGCTAACAATATGATTGTTTACCTTGAAAACCCTAAGGACTCCTCCAGAAAGCTCCTAGAACTGATTAAAGAATTCAGCAAAGTTTCCGGATACAAGATTAATGTACACAAATCAGTAGCTCTTCTATACACCAACAGTGACCAAGCAGAGAATCAAATCAAGATTTCAACCCCTTTTTACAGTAGCTCAAAAAAAAAAACCTTAGGAATATACCTAACAAAGGAGTTCAAAGACCTCTACAAGGAAAACTACAAAACACTGCTGAAAGAAATTATAGACAACACAAACAAATGGAAACACATTTCATGTTCATGGATAGGTAGAATCAATATTGTGAAAATGATCATACTGTCAGCCAGACGCGGTGGCTCATGCCTATAATCCCAACACTTTGGGAGGCCAAGGAGGGCAGATCACTTAAGGTCAGGAGTTTGAGACCAGCCTGGCCAATATGGTGAAACCCCGTCTCTACTCAAAATACAAAAATTAGCTGAACGTGGTGGTGCACGCCTGTAGCCCCAGGTACTAGGGAGGCTGAGGCAGGAGAATAGCTTGAACCTGGGAGGCGAATGTTGCAGTGAGCCGAGATCATGCCACTGCACTCCAGCCTGGACGACAGAGCAAGACTCCGTCTCAAAAAAAAAAAAGAAAAAGAAAAAAAGAAAATGACCATACTACCAAAAGCAATCTACAAATTCAATGCAATCCCCATCAAAATACCACTATCATTCTTAACAGAGTTAGAAAAAACAATTCTAAAATTCATAGGAACCAAAAAAGAGCCCGCATAGCCAAAGCACGATTAAGCAAAAAGAAAAATTCTGGAGGCATCACACTACCTTATTTCAAACTATACTTTAAGGCCACAGTCATCAAAATAGCATGGTACTGGTATAAAAATAAACATATAGACCAATGGAATAGAATAGATAACCCAGAAATAAACCCAAATACTTATATCCAACTGATCTTCGACAAAGCAAATAAAAACATAAACTGGGGAAAGGACACCCTTTTCAACAAATGGTGCTGGGATAATTGGCTAGCCACATGTAGGAGAATGAAACTGGATCCTCGTCTCTCACCTTATTACAAAAATCAGCTCAAGATGGATTAAGGACTTAAACCTAAGACCTGAAACTATACAAACTTTAGAAGATAACATTGGAAAAACCCTTCTAGATGTTGACTTAGGCAAGGATTTCATGACCAAGAACCCAAAAGCCAATGCAATAAAAACAAAGATTAATAGCCAAGATCTAATTAAACTAAAGAGCTTTTGCATGGCAAAAGGAAGAGTCAGCAGAGTAAACAGACAACCCACAGAGTGGGAGAAAATCTTTACAGTCTATACATCTGACAAAGGACTAATATCCAGAATCTACAACAAACTCAATCAAATCAGTAAGAAAAAAAAAATCCCATCGAAAAGTAGGCTAAGGACATTAATAAACAATTCTCAAAAGAAGATATACAAATGGCCAACAAATATATGAAAAAATGCTCAACATCACCAATGATCAGGGAAATGCAAATCAAAACCACAATGTGATACCACCTTACTCTTGCAAGAATGGCCATAATCAAAAAATCAAAAAACAGTAGATGTTGGCATGGATGCGGTGAACAAGGAACACTTC